CTTCAGCTTTTTTTTCCCCGACTGCCTAGGGGGATATGGGGTATATGTGACTTTTGACTGCATGTGGTGCTTGGAAGGTACATTTATGTCATGCCAGGAGCTGATAGGAATTTTTTTAGGACCGTGGGAAAGAAATAGGAAGTTGTAATCAAGGAGAAAAGAGGAAGTGACCATATGAGTAAGCATCCCTGATTTCACCTTCTTCCACCTTGAACTACCACCATGAGGTCCTGTAATTGTTTCTAGGGCAAAACTCTTTCAAGTACATTCTTTGGATGAATGAAGAAATCAAAACAAAGAATTTTTGCTATCTCCCTTTCTCTATGGCTGGTGGTAAACCATTCATAAGAAATTTTGAGTCATTTCCTTAATGCATTTTAGATTCCATAACCAAAATTACAGATCAGTTCACTTTCAGAAAAAGAAGCAGCACTTAAAGGCAGGGATAAAGGCCTTCAATGCAAGTATCCCTGGAAAGGTGAGATCAACATTGTGTGATACAAACTTCAACTGATTTCTCTGACTTCAAGAAAGAGAAATGTTTATATCGATATTGCTATAGCAGAATGAATCTCCTGGTATACTATGTTTGATATGAGGTTTTTTTTTCTGTAAAGTCAAAGAATAAATTTTAGGAACAACAGAGATTAAGAGAAGAATGTACTTATTGAGAGAAAGAAAGCTGCCTGAGAGAGAGACAGAGTCCTGAGGAGGTTGCCAAACATTGTCCTTTCTAGGGAAATTTATAGAATAAAATCATGTGGTGAAATGAGTTTAAGGTCGGGAAAACTAGGAACTCACAATGCAAATGGGCATAAGATCAGAAAGAGCTATGGTACTCAATAGGATTATTAAGTTCAGGTAAAGCTGATTAAACTGGGAACAAAGGGGGAAAGGAGTCACATAGAAAGCAGGCATTCTTAAGTAGCTGTGTCTCTTCCATTTGGGGTTTGAGAGGGTGGCTCCTGAGTTCCTCAGGATGATAGGAACTATTTAGAATGTCAGTCTTTAGGATAAGCATACATTTCTTTAAATGGTGACTCCTGACTTCCTCAGAGTGCTAGGGAACTATTTAGAATATCAATCCTTAGGATATGGATGAATTTGCTTATCATTTGTCTTGAGCCTTGGCCCATAGCATGAGGTGTCCCTCTTCCCCGTAGTTGCAAGGTATCTGGTCTCCTGCATGGGCTCCTTGGGGGACCTAGCCATGTCTCAGGCCAATAGTATTTAAATAACTCACGTCCCTGTAGCAGTACTGTTTGGAAAATTGACTTACAGATGTCTTGTGCTATGGGTGAATGATCTGGGGATGACAATGTGCAATGTATATACCATTGTTGCCCCCTGATTGACATGTTTTGAAATTTAATTTTAGTTAATGTGTTCTTTTTTCCTTGAAATAAAATGTATTTAAAAGTTAAAAGTCTGAGGTAAAGCTCTTCAATACAAACACTCCTCTGCTGAGCTGAGTTCACCACTGTAGAAATATGGCAGCTCCAGAAGTTTCTGCACTACAGTCTATCTTTTGGGATCCTCTCTTCCAGGGAGGGGTTCCTTTCTCTGTTTATTCTTGACTCAGAATGATGGCAATAGAGCAGGAGTCAATCAGTGATGAAGGGGCAGGCTATATGAACTGTCCAATCAGGTGGGCCATTGCTGGCTGTAACTTCTGTCTCTTCTGGTGTCTCAGCATGATTTATCTGTTCTGAGTACAATAGTGGTAGCAAAACACTTGCTGGATCTCATTTAGTACATTCGATGTACTGTGGCCTGATTAGCAAAGAACCTGAGAGATCCTGGAACGATGGAATAGTAAGGTTGTGGATTGGAGCCCAGAAATAGGGTGGTTTGGGTGAAACCAGTTACAAGTATTTAGGAGTAGTTCCGGTGTCTGGAGCCCCAGGTATTTAGTTAGCTTCAGCTCCTGAGGTCCTCCAGCATTGCCCATGGGTCATTCACTGTCCCTTTTGCCTCTTGCTGTTGGCAAGGGTAATTTGGGGGTCCCCGGAACCCTAGCTTCACTATGACAGCAGTGTACTCAAGTATCATCTTTGAAATTCATTGCTAGCCTGGTAACTCCAGCATCTTAGGCATTGGACAGAGCTTGGGAAGACCCTGACTATGATGATTTGTAGCTTGTAGAGCAGTAATGATCTAGGACTCTGCTCTTTTTCCTCAGAGTAGCAGATCTGGAATGTATTAATGTCTGTAATGTGGGACCTCATAGCCACAATGGCTCAACTTAAACTTGGGTTTATTTGTATTTATTGTGATCTCCTAAGTTGATACTATGTTCTCATATTTCCATCCTCATGACAGGTAGTAGCAAAGGTCCTGAGAATTCAGAGATGTGTAGTAGTGTGCCTCAGTGGAGAAAGGCTTCCCAAACACCTGGTGAACTCCTGTGTATTATACAGATCAGTGCAAAATAATTTCTGAACATACTTAAAAATTTAGGTGGCACCGTCACTCACAGTCTAGGTTTGTAGAGTTTTGAAGTCTGAGAAAAATGAAGCAAATATGAAAGTGTTATCTAGGACAGGGTAAATATTTGTGAAAGACAAATTCCAGAAAGGGCTACCTGTTAAATTCTCATCGAAAAATGCCAAAATTTAGGCATTTGCATGGACATATACATGTGATATCCTTCTAAATGGAAAGGAATAGAGATGTCATCTCTGAATTAAGAGCTGATTTAGTAGCTTGGTTGTTCATAGAGTGTTTAAATATGGAAATTCTCTACAATGGACTTATCTAAGTGGTGTAAAGGAGAAGGCCTAAATAGAAATTTTGCAGTGATATCAATAGTTAGGCATGAAGGGTTTTCGGCTTAGGATGGATCAGAGGAGTATGGAAAGGATGTGGAAGTGACTGACAGGATGCAGGAAGCAAATAGCAGGACATACAACAGAGAGGGTCTTTACTGAAAGTCACGTAGTTCTTAGAGTAAGTATGAAGTAGAGTTGGGTTCTGATTGCTTCATTGAGGTGATCAACACCAGCTCTGGCAACAATCAGTATTCCACATCCCTGTCAACCCATTATTTTTGTGTTCCATACCTGAGATCTAATTTTGATTATCTCTAATTATACTGCAGTGTCATGAAAGTGAAATTTGAATTTTTTTCGTACCAAGGATCAAACTCATGACCTATGCTTTCCAGGTAGGTGTTCATGCTACGGAACTAAATACCCAACTATGAAAGTGTTTTCTGTGTAGTATGGAAGATATCCACATTGGTTCTCAGAAAGTGTTGAGTATTGTTGGAATTTTTCTCTATTGTACGCCTATAATGTTTTAAAACAAACCAAAGATGTCTTATGCAGTCTCTTTTTAAGTTTCATTTTGTTTGTTCAGTGTCTCAGTCAGGGATTGTCTATTTTAAATGGCTCTGTAACTTAGGATAGCCCCAAATTCAAGGAAGAACTCCTTCACCAGCCTCCCAAGATATATTTCTTATATTTCAATTGAAAGTGATCACTTGGTGACAGTGAGGTATAATTTACAGCTTGGGCCTGGTTTATTTTTATATACATATTTTTAAAATACAGCTGTTTTCCACTATAACACTTCAGTTATTATTATTTATGTACCATATTTGATGTTATTTATGTTTTGTTCTATGGAACCAAATTAATGTTTCAAAATGCTGCTTAAGTATATTAAGAACAAAGTATTCATTGGCCTAAATGAGATTTGAAGAGACATCATCTGTAGTCTGTCAAAGTGATTGATGAGATTTTTTATTTAATTTTGAAATTGGTAAAATACAACAGAACAAGGCAGCATAAGGTCAACTAAGATCATAGAGAGAAATTGGTACACAATTTCACAACAGGTTACTGGGATAACAATAATAGGTATCACAATATATTTTGTTATCTTTGTAATAGTTGTTCTTTAATCACATATATCAAAGTGAGACAAAATACAGAACATTATAGAACTTATCAAAACAGAATATTAAATAGAGCAGTACCATTAATCAGAATAGAGTGAAACAATAATAAAAACATTTTCCTTAAAAGTAATAGTAAAAGGAAGTCCTCCTTATTTGCTATGGTCAACTTGCCAGGAGATGCTCAGATTTCTGGTTCCCATTTGCTAATGTGGGGTGACAGGAGAAGAGGGGTAGGGAAGTGGGATGTTTGATTCTAGGTGGTGCATCAGTAGGTTCACTATTGCTTACTAGGGAGACAGGCTGCTTGTTTGGTTTCACAGCGTCCTAAGTTTCAACATACCATGGATATCAGGAGCTGCTGCTGGTTCTCCCCCCGGAAGGGCTGCAGTCCAACAGACTGCCACCACTTACCTGGGAAAAGTGGTGCTTGACTGGCTTCCCAATGTCCTAAATTCCAGCATGGGATGGATCTCAGGAGCTGCTGCTGGTTTTCCCCTGGAAGGGCTTCAATTTGCCAAACCACCACCAATGACCGGGGAGGGGAGGTGCTTGCTTGGCTTTCCAGGCAATTGATGGGATATTTATCTGCCTCTGTGCTTTGCGGTTGCTGGTCCTGCAGGCTTCTTACTGTGAGCTCTGCTTTAGAGACAGTACACGATTAATCTTGCCATGATTCAGCACAAGAATCAGTGTTCCTGTTTGGCTGTTACATTTGCAGCGAGTTGCAATCTGGTATCAGATTTGCTGTCTTCAAAAATGTGTATATACACAAAATTAATGACCAAGACATGGATTAAAATTTGAAGAAATCAGCCTTCATTCAGCTGTTTTGTTTGGTTTTATTTGTTTAGTTTAGTTTTGTTTTATTGAGACAAGCTTTCTGTATGTATATCAGGTGGATTTGAACACCCTATGGATCCTAGAATTGCCCTGACCTCACTGATGCCATCCTGTCTCAGCCATTTGACTGCTGGCATTATAGATATGCACCACCACACTTTGCTTTTGATTCAGATTTCTAGGAGAGAATTTAAGATATCCCAAACCTGGGGTCTCAACCTTCCTCTGAGAAATATATGTATGATCCTTTAGGAGTTGGTGACCTTTGAGGATGTGGCTGTGAACTTCAGCAATGAGGAGTGGACTTTGCTGACTCCATCCCAAAAGAAGCTCTACAGAGATGTGATGGGCGAAACCTTTAGGAGCATGACTCTGATAGGTAAGGATGAAATCTTTTTGTCACTCATGCTGTCAGAATATTGTTTCTTGCTCATTAGTTCTGTTTCATGAAAAAGAATATGAAAACATTTTTAAAAATATGTCAGACCTGGACACATTATATCATAAATCTAAACAAAACCTATTAATTTGTATGTATTACTCTAAAGAGTCCTGGTATTTCTATTTCTACAATTCAGGTGGACTTGGGGATATCCAGGAAGCTGAAAAAGAAGGCAAAATTTATTGGAGCTACTTAAGGTAATTCACACACACAAGTAGAGTAATGTTCCTGAGTAATTAGTGAGTCAGCAGAAAAATGATCAAAGAAATGAGGCACCATTCAATTTAATGTCAGTAATATTCTCAGAAGATGTATAAACTAGTGTATATATGAGGGAATTAAATCATGAAAATGTATGACATTGCATATAGATGAGTACGAAAAGAATACATTTTGAGTTGTTACATTCTGCCTTCAGTTTTTCTACCCATATCTACATGTGAATATAACACATTCATTATCTAACAATTGCTAAGTTTGCAATAGAATTTTTTAAAAAAATGACTCCTCATGTTTCCAAGACATTCTCTAGAGAATCAGCCATTCTGATTAATATTCTTAGTAGGCTGGTGGAATGTTAGTGCACTCATTTTGAATATCAATATGCAGTTGTCTCTAGAAATTGATCCCCTCACACTTGTCCTGAATATTTTTAAAATCTCAAATCTGTATAAAATACTGATACATGCTTACTCATATACAAAGCAGATCGAGTTATAACAGACCAGGCCTTGAAGCTTAGCTATCTATCACTGGATTTGTGGAATAGGAAAATGATAACAGACTGTCTGTGATTGTGCATTTCTGTAAACCCAGCACACTAGGAATCAGATTTTGCAGAATGGCAAATTCAAGTTCAAACTTCACAGCTTAATGATCAGTGAAAATCTCTTAAAGTAGATTTAAAAAAGCTACAGATTTTGTGCTAATACGTGTTGTTCATTCCGAGCCCAGAAAAGAAAAAAATGTGTTACATAATGTCAAAAAATAAATAATATAATGTCATTTGCCATAAGAAATAGATGGGTCTTTCACCCATCAATTCAGTGAAATAGCTCAGCTATAAAGCCTAAAATGTTACAAGGTTCCTTTTAGATGAGACACCAAAATATAAGTTGTGGAATGAAATGAAAGAAAGTTGATAGAGAAAGGTAAGACTGACCATATGGAAAAGGGAACTACAGGTTAAGGGCAGAAGGGAGATTGTGTGGGGAAACATATCAGAATAATCTGTACATGATACCCATATGTGCCCATGCCCAAATTGAAGCTAAATATTCTGCATTTCAAAGTACCAACTTTTAAGATTTCCAAATGTGTGCCAGTCTTTTGGGAATGGTTGTTTTCAACATATCTTACAAGGCCATTCTGTTGCTTCATGGTCAGAATTTCGTAGCAGGCATTAAAAACAGAACTTGACATTAATGCAGTCATGAAACAGAGACCCATTTCACTGTGAATTTTTCTTTTTTTAAATTTATATAAGGAAAGATTAAACAAAACAAATAAGTGGAAATAATGCTACTTTCAAAATGAAAATAAACAGTAAGAAATTGCAAGATGATGATTACATATGCTGCTCATGGAAATAGTTATGAAATACAAAAGTGAAACATATGAAGTGGGGATTCAAACAGTGAGACTGCAAACAGTTTTGTTCAACTCTCAAACAAAAACTTAGTAATTTGGTTGTAAATCTTATATGTGATGTTTTTCTTTACAGAAATGACAAGCTAGGGAAATCTTATGGACATACATCTTGGAATCAGTGTAAAGAAGTGTTCCTTGGTACTGCAGAAAGTAATGTGAATGTGAAAGAAACAAAAACACATGACAATGTTCAGATCCATGAAAAATATTGCAGTGGAGGGAAACCCTATGTATGCAAGCAATGCGGGAAAGGTTTTACCACACATGGGATTTGTAAGAAACATGAAAGAATTCACAGAGGAGAAAGACCCTACATATGTAATCAGTGTGGGAAAGCTTTTACAACACGTACATATTGTCAAGTACATGACAGTCTTCACTCTGGAGAAAAACGTTATGAGTGTAAGCACTGTGAGAAAGCTTTCAGCACATGTACTTATTGTGGAATTCATGAAAAACTTCACGCTGGGTGGAAATCGCATATATGTAAGAAATGTGGGAAAGCTTTTAGCAGTAAAATTCATTTTCAAATACAAGAAAATATTCACACTGGAGAGAAACACTATGTGTGTAAGCAATGTGCAAAAGGTTTTATCCAACCTGGAAATTGTAAGGAACAGGAAAGAATTCACACTGGAGAGAAACCCTATGTATGTCAGGAATGTGGGAAAGCTTTTACCACACCTGGACGTTGTAAGGAACATGAAAGAATTCACACTGTAGAGAAAGCATATGTATGTAATCAATGTGGGAAAGCTTTTAAAACACAGGGAGACTGTAAGAAACATGAAAGAATTCACACTGGAGAGAAAGCATATGTATGTAAACAATGTGGGAAAGCTTTTAAAACACAGGGAGATTGTAAGAAACATGAAAGAATTCACACTGGAGACAAACCATATGCATGTAAGCAATGTGGGAAAGCTTTTAGCAGACGTGAAAACTGTAAGTTTCATGAAAGAATTCACACTGGAGAGAAACCATATGTATGTCAGCACTGTGGTAAAGGATTCACTACTCCTGGACATTGTAAGCAACATGAACGCATTCACACTGGAGAGAAACCATATGTATGTCAGCAATGTGGTAAAGGATTCACTAGTTCTGGATATTGTAAGCGACATGTACGCATCCACATGGGAGAGAAACCATATGTATGTAAGCAATGTGGGAAAGCTTTTAACACTTGGGGAGACTGTAAGAAACATGAAAGAATTCACACGGGAGAGAAACCCTATGTGTGTCAGCAATGTGGGAAAGCTTTTAACACACGTACAAATTGTAAGGTTCATGAAAGAATTCACACTGGAGAGAAACCATATGTGTGTAAGCAATGTGGGAAAGCTTTTACCAGACATGCAAATTGTAAGGAACATGAAAGAATTCACACAGAAGAGAAACCATATGTGTGTAAGAAATGTGGGAAAGCTTTTAAAACATGTGCATATTTTAAGGTTCATGAAAGAATTCACACTGGAGAGAAACCATATGTATGTAAGCAATGTGGGAAAGCTTTTACCAGACATGCAAATTGTAAGAAACATGAAAGAATTCACACAAAAGAGAAACCATATGTGTGTAAGAAATGTGGGAAAGCTTTTAAAACATGTGCATATTTTAAGGTTCATGAAAGAATTCACTATGGAGAGAAACCATATGTATGTGAGCAATGTGGGAAAGCGTTTACCAGACATGCAAGCTGTAAGGAACATGAAAGAATTCATACAGGTGAGAAACCATATGTGTGTAAGCAATGTGGGAAAGCTTTTAAAGCACGTGCATATTTTAAGGTTCATGAAAGAATTCACACTGGAGAGAAACCATATGGATGTAAGCAGTGTGGGAATGCTTTTAGCACATGGGGAAATTGTAAGAAACATGAAAGAATTCACACTGGAGAGAAACTCTATGTATGTAAGTAATGTGGGAAAGCTTTTAAAATGCAGTGAGATTGTAAGAAACATGAAAGAATTGACACTGGAGAGAAACGCTATTTATGTAAGCAATGTGGGAAAGACTTTACCAATTCTGGACATTGTAAGCAACGTGAAAGAATTCACACTGGAGAGAAACCATATGTATGTAAGCAATGTGGGAAAGTTATTACCCATCATGGGCATTGTAAGCAACATGAAAGTTCACACTCAACATAAAACCAGTGTATGTAAGAATCATGAGAATGGTTTGAGCACACGTATATATTGCATAATGTATGAAAATCTTCACACTGGGCAGAAAACTTATATATGTTAGGAATGTGCAGAAGGTTTCAGCAGAAATGCTCATTGTCCAATACATTATAAAATTTAGACTGTTGAGAAACCCTGTGTATGTGAAGAATGTGGGAAAGCTTTCACCAAACATGGATATTGTAAAATACATCCATGACTTCACACTGGTGGAAAACCCTATGTATATAACAGTGTGGCAAAGCTTTTACCACATACAGTCATTGCAAAACACATGAAAGAATTCAACTGGGTACTTCCCGGAGAACATGGCGGACAGATAACAGCTACTATGGAGGCTCTCTGAAAGTCTCGGCTCAGAAGTCAGGAAGGGTGCGGAGTAAGGAGACATAAGCAGGTGGAGATATACTCTGCTGAATCAGGAATGAACTGGGCTGAGAGAAACCAACTTGGAATGCAGTCCTGGTGCTAAAACAGGAACAGAAAAGTGTGGAGGCTGGAGCCCTTGCCATTGGAAGCCACGATTTGGGTTTCCTGCCACGCGGTGACTGTCTCTACATCAGCTCAGCAAGGAGGGAGACGCACAGAGGCTATGAGAATGGGAATCTGCGAACAGAGTCGAAAACAGGATGGGCAGGGAGGCGTGCACTGACTTGTGAGGTGAGTGAGAGAAACTGACACTCTACCACAGTTTGACTCCAACGGAGGACATTCTGGGCCCGAGTAGTCCTTCATGAGCAGGGCACGGTGGTGACTTCAGCCATACATCCCCCTCTCAGGCAGGATTGCTGAAAAGTGCCTGTCCTGTGTGGTGCTGCTGGCGGACCCAGTAGGCTGGCCCGATCCAAATCCCAGAGCCTGATGGTGGCCGGGAGGGGCAGGCCCCACATAGCATGCCTGGTCTGGAACATCCTGGTGTGCTGCGGTGGGTGAGAACACCTAACCGGCGAATTCGATCAGGCTGTGGCTGACGGAGAGAAGCTGGGCCTCTTATATAAGCTTGCATATATAAGGAACAGAGAATATGGGAAGAGGCAGCAACAAGAAAGTCTCCTTGGCCCCCAATTCGGGAAACAGGTAATAGCGGACACCGCACCAATAGACATAAAGCGCCATATAGAGAGCCTCATAGATCAGTTCAGGAATGAAGTTTTCATTGAACTGAAGCTAGAAGTATGCAGAATAGTTAGAGAAATGCTAAGCATCACCCAAGAAAAAACAGATGTTGGAATGGAAGAACAGAAAAAGAGGGGAGAATTGTTTGATGGAGAAAACAGGGAAAGCATAGAATACGTGAAGCAGGTTCAAAGAGACTACCAAGAAGCTAAGAAGTCTATCGATAACTGGTATAACAGCTTGAAAGAAACTAAGGACAGACTATCTGAACTGGAGGGCAGAATTGAAATATGGGAGGATGAAATGAAAAACTCCTTAAAAATAACAAAGAAACAAACAGCAATAATACAAAGACAAGAAGATGATAAGATGATCCATAACTTAAGGATTAAGAACATAAAAGAAGAAGTAGCGACACAAACAAATGAACTACAAAATCTACTCACTTGAAATAATCCAGGAGAATTTTCCTAATTTACTAAAAGGTAAAGATGCTCAGATGTATGAGGCATACAGGACCCCAGCTACCTACAACCAAAACAGAGCAACACCCAGGCATATAATAATAAAAATTCCAGAAATTCAATACAAGAACAGAATATTGAAAGCTGTCAGAGACAAGAAACAGACCACTTACAATTCTGATGGTAGCACCCATCAGAATTACAGCAGATTTCTCTGCACAAACCATCAAATCACAAAAAGTGTGGGGGGAAATAATTCAAGCTTTGAAAGATAATAATCTCCAGCCAAGGTTGAGATATCCTGGACAACTGTCCCTGGATATTGATGGAAAAACAAGGTGCTTCCAGGATAAACAGGAACTGGGGGAATTTGTGACCACCAATTCAACTCTACAGAGAGTATTGCAGGATATTCTAAAAAAAGAAAAATACAAAGAATCCAGAAATAGTGGACGCCACAACTAATGGAGCAGAGAACAAAGTGAAGAAGACAAACTGACAGCTACTGACAGAAAAAGAGCTCAACAGAAATGAGGCAGAGAAGATTGGATGATAGGAACAGCTATTTTGGAGAAAATGACATCTTAATTGGTAATACTGATTTAGTATCATCTTGTTTTGAAGTCTCATCAAGCTTTTCTTCTGTCTCCATTGGTCTAAATAGGTTGTATCTTATTGGATTTTATTATGTACAATAGTATAAGCAAAACCCTTTTAAAGACAAGGAGATTATACAGAAACCATTGTTCATTTTCTGTTAGTCAATTCTCAATACTCTGTAATGCTGTCATTCTCTTAAATGGTTTTACATTGTTTTGATATATTTAATGCTACAGGATATGAAGTTGTACTCAAGGATTTCAAGGAAAGAGACAATATGGTAACTACTTTTATGTCAGGATTATCTGGTGGTGAAACAATATTCTGCTTAAATGGTTATGTTTTGATGTGCACCAATTTGCTGTTATGCCCTCTTTTATCTCAATCTCCACTCCATTATTTACTTTTTTATTTTTATCCTTTTAATTAAGGGAAAAATAAATAAAAATAGCAGGATATATTATAGTAACCCACTTTGACTTTCCATTATCTCGATTTAAAGACCTGTATCACTCTCACCATCTTGTTTTTGACTGATGTTCTCCTATTCTATTTTGCTGGATAGTATCAGATTCGAAAGTTTAGGCATCAGCTGTGAAGATAATGAAATTCATTATAACGCCCATTCTCTTTGACTTTTATCTACTTTTGAAGACCAATGTCTTCAATGTTTTGGTTTTGTCAGTTTTGTTCTTTACTGTTTTGTTCAATTTTATTAACTAATGATATAGGCAATTCTTTTAGAGATAGCGGGAGGCATTATGGTAACCATTGTTGATCACCTTGTATTATGTTTTTACATTACCTATTATGTCCACCCTTTTGAGTGGACCGATTCTGTTCTGTTATGCCACATTTGGTTTTACTCTCTTCCAAAAAAATAATAAGAACCGTGGGAGCAATGAAACCCAAAATGTGTAATAGTCATTGTACAAACGAAAGGGAAAGAAAGTGCTCTAAACTATATAACTGCATGTATATTTAAGTGTATAAGATAGAAAATAATATCACAGAGTTTTTTTGGATCATTGAACAGAAGTGTTTGCAGTATCATTGTTGGAATGTCCACTTTACAAGCTTTAATTTTGTGACTTGAACAATTATTTCTAAAATGACAATATGTAATCCATTAACTAATGATTTCCTACTGTTGATTTTTTTCTGTAAATCTGTATAACTTGTACCCTTTCTCTGCTTTTTTTCTCCTTAAATAAAACTTTAAAAAAAGAATTCACACTGGGAAAAACCACTGGCTATGTAAGCAAGTGCAGACATTTTCAGCAGCCAGATTGTAAGTGAAATACATGAAAAAACTCACACAAGAGATATATCCTATGCGTTATGGGAATACTCTCATCATACTTGATCATTGTTACATATCTTAAAGGACTCAGTGGGCAGAGATCCTATGTGGATTAACAATGTGAGAAATATGGCAATCCATGTTTCTTGTTAAATACATAGAAAAAGTGTCACTGTTCAGACAGTTTAGATCTAAATTTACTTTAAAAATCGCAGGGAGACCTGAAGAAATAATCAATACAGAAGTTAGATGTCAATATTTCTTCACAAATATTCCAGAAATGACAAATCTGAGGTGGAGCTCTCCTTAGGTGCAAAAATTGTATGGTTTTCAGTTAATAACTTGTACTTCTCTAGATTTTTTAAAGTGTCTTTGTGCTTCAACATAGCATCTTGTAATTAAACATGCTAAACTGAAATGGGCTTTTTACTTTCAAGTATGGTTAGTGTCTATGTACTTAATATTTTTTTTCTGTAAAACTTAAATTTTATATTTTTGGTGAATTGTAATGTTTATTTAAAGAGAAAAAAGAAAACGTGTAGAAATAATACAGAATTTCAGAAAAATAAACAATAAGAAATCACTAGTTGATTAGTTTCATATTGTCATCTTAGAAGTAGTTGTTCAAGTTACAAAATTAAAGCATACAAAGTGATATTCAAATAATGACACTGTCAACAGTTCCCTTCAATGATCCAACAAAAAGTTATTAATATGCTTATCTGTCCTAGACACTTTTGTTTCTTAAAGAGGGTAAGATTAAACATGAAAAAACAGAACAGAACAGTTCATAAGGAAATAAGCTAAGGAAACATTTCAAAGCAAGTCCACTGCAGATGTTCACTGTCTATCTTACTGTCTCTAGTTTTCTTCCAAATAGTTGTTCCCATCTTCACACACATTGAATATATACCAAATATTATAGGACTACTCAAATAGTTACGGGGTGATGCAGGCTTTTTTGGTCTTCAAGACTGATTTTGGGGAAGTCGGTAATGACTACCATAATGTCTCTTATTCTCTTCATAGAAGCTGTCATTATCTTTATGTATGCTGAAATTTAACATAAGAGACTAGACTAATATCACTGTGAACAGTGAATAATAGTATCCTGAGAAGGAGAAAGGTGAGGAATTGCCTAAAAAAAGAAGGCAGAGAACATTGTTAAAAGTGTATCAGGATTTAAAATCTACAGTAGTCTTGTTGCTCTATTTAGTTTGGTTATATTTTGTTCTGGACTGTCTACTCATATTAGATTTGAGGGCACAGAGAGATAACCCAAAAATAGCAGGTTATACCATGGTAACTATCCTTAATTTCCTATTAACTAAAACTGAAACCCAATATTACTTACATTGTCTTCTATGACTGATCTTCTTTGAAGCTGGTTTGTTTGAATGTTATTTGGCCTTGAATGATTTTATTTACGTTTAGTATGCTTGCTAGTATCAAGTTCAAGAGAAGAGGCAACTACTGTGAAGATGACAAGATGTAAAAGATATCCATTGGTGGGCCGGGGATTAGCTCAATGGCTTAAGCACCTGCCTGGCAAGTGTGAGGTCATGAGTTGGATTTCCAGTGCCCAATAAATAAATAAATAAATAAATAAAAGATATCCTTTCCAGGTTTGATTATTTTTTTAATTAAAGAGAACAAAGATAGGAAATAAAAAACAAAGCAGTAAACGGGTACGAGTAATACAGAATTTCAAGAAAAAGTTCAATAAGAAATCACTAGTTAATAGGTTACATCTTGTCATCTTAGAAACAGTTGTCCAAATTATAAAATTAAAGCATAGAAAGTGGACATTCATACATTGAAA